AGTCATTCGAACGTTGTCTAGAAAAAGTAATTTGCCTCTTAAATTGCTATCGTCTTTAGACTTCTAAGTATAGTCAAATCATTAGAAAAATGTTTGAACGACTCATTATAACATTTTTAAAGGTCTGTAAAACGATGGGATTCGACAGGCAAATTATTTTTTCTAAACGATGTCCAAATATTTACTTGGACTTACTGTAGCCTGTTGATATCGCGTCGATAATAAAACGTAAATATAATCAGAAACAGTATACTTCTCCTCATTTTTTTAGTAGTTCTCAATTAATGATTTTTTTTTTAATGATGATCAACAGGACACACAGCGCATTATTAAATAACTATATAATATTTTTCTTATGAAATCGTACAATAATTAGCAAAAATTAATCATTGAATTATTATTTTAAAATTTGAAGGACGGCAAAAAATTGTAGGAGTCTCAAACGTATACTGTTGCAATCCCAACATTTTGTTTATAATTACGTTACTAAGATAAAAAAAATTAACTAATCCGTACGTCACCTCTAGTTTTTATATTAAAATGCAATAACTAGTAAGTACTAGTACTAATTCAAAATTTGTTATTAACCAGACTTAGATAGATAATTTTCTAGTTTTTAGGTTAAAAATATATGTTTCTATTTAAAAAACTAAAGTTTTTAGAATTGTGGATAGGACCAAATTTCTTTAATAATTATAAAACGTAGTACAATTAACTTAAGAATAGTTAATATTATGTTAAATATATATTGATAATATATAGAGCAGGGGCGTCATTTGGGGAGGGTTCGGACAATACAACCGCACCCCTTACTTTAAAAACAGCCTTAATTGGCCTGCAAAATAATGCACCAATTTTTTATACATTAATTCAAATTTCAAAAACATTGTATTATCATGATTACATGGGCCAATAAACAAATATTCTGGTAACAATTAATTGAGTAAACAATTAATATATCATACTGGACTATTTATTAGTAATGGGCATTTTCGAATATTTTTTGAATCACTATTGAATAGTTAGATAGTTACTTTTCGATATTTCCCATCACTACTATTTATATTTATACCGGACACACGATATTAATATTGATGTTCGTAACAGTTTTATCTTCGATGCAAAGCTAAGAAGGTATTAATTTTACGATGATGTGTTAATATTTTTTTGTGTCTGTTACTAAAAGACATTTTCCTTGTTTTTCGTAAATGGTGGAAATCCCTCGAAAATTATAATTTTTATAATCTGTAAATTTCAACATTTATTTCTCTAAAATTGACATAACTTATTCAAAAATGAACAAATCAAAATAATTATTTTTTATATTAAAACCTTAAGTAATTTTCTTTTATTTGATCAAATATTTTTGAAAATCTAACCCTTTACCTACCCAGAAGAAGGAATTCAAAATAGTATTTATTTCAACTTAAGTTTTAAAAATGTTCTGGAAATACTGCGTCCTTAAAACATATGCCAAATTCAAGGTTATGATACGTACTAAAAATTAAAAAAAAATGTTTACTGTCACTTTATCTTCTGCATGCAAACGATTGCCGTAGTTCAAAAAATGCTATTTTTTGTTTGTTTGTTATAAGATACCTTATAAGGGTTTGCTATAGTATAAGTCAGTCAATATATATAAAATTTACATGAATATTTCTATAATGTATAACTTAAATTAATATAAATTTATACAAAAAGCCTTTTTAAATTTTTAAAAACTTAAAAATTTGTATAAAAAGTAGAACTTTTTCAACTTAACTTTTGAAAATTTGCGTTTTTAAAATATATATTAAAAAAACACATCATAGTAAAATTAATACCTTCTCAGCTTCGCATCGAAGCTAATAAAGCTAATTCTATGTACTAGAAGTTCAAAAAAATTTGTACCAACGAACTATTTTCTATGTACAAATGGCAGTCGAAGTAGAACAAAAAATAGGAGTTAATTTTGCTTTAAGAATAATCCACCAATTTCTTAAAATTAAACACTATCTACAGATTTGCATCGAAGCGTTTCTTATAATAGTGATTTCAATCACTATGAGATATCATCTATACTTGTCCCAATTATGCCATAACCCCCTCACTGTTCTATCTTTTTTATCACGACTTTTTTGCCGCGCAGTTAACAGAAATAATTGATAACAGTAGTTAACTGATAAATATAAAATTCAAAGATTGCTACGACCCCGACGCCACGTTATATAATGTAATATTAAAGTAGTAAGTATTATTATAATTTATATTTACTACTTATGGTTGATTGTGATTTATAATGTATGAAAAAATTAAAAGAAGAATAATTTATTTAAGTAGGTATATCTATTTTTATATGGCCTGATGAAATTTCATAATGGTCTACTTGAAATCTCGCACACCAAAAAAAGAAAACTGAAATGACGTCCCTGATATAGAGGGTTTCCCAGCACTCACTAACAACTTAAATAATTTCTGATTCAGTTAATATTTTTTGCTAATTTTTTTTTTAATATTTTATTTACTTAAGGGCTATAATAATAATGTAATAAATATAATTTTTATAATTAAATAAAAAAACTATAATTTTAAAATTTACGAGAAATGTTTAAAAAAATTAAAAATAGCCATTTTATAGATTAAATTTTAAGAAAAATTTGGTGAAAAAATTTTTCATTAATGTTTTGTAGNAGCCATTTTATAGATTAAATTTTAAGAAAAATTTGGTGAAAAAATTTTTCATTAATGTTTTGTAGTTAATTTTTTTTAACATTTTAAATTTTGTTAAAAATCGATTTTTTTTTTTGTATTTATGCTACGGTATCAAACGCTGGTTATTTTATAAAAAAGGACAGAAGTAAACACAATCTTTTCACACTAAATATTTTGTGTATGGATTTTTCCATATTTGAAATCCATAAAAATTGTTGACGTTCTAATGACCGGCTTTAATTCAAATAAAAACTCGAACAATACCTATTACTTAATAATTAGTTTTATCTCTAAAGAGATAAAACTACTTATTCTAACTAAAATTAGAATTTATTTATCACAAGTCAAGATTTATATTATACTAAGTATAAAGTCTATTATATTTACAAACTTGGTATTTATACGATAATAATAAATCGATGTGAGTGCTGGGCCACCCATATAAAAATATATTATGTTTTATATTTTTCAAGATTTTGTGTGAGTCATAATTAAATACAGTAGAACTCCAATTATCCGAATTAATGGGGACCGGGACCCATTCACTGACTAATCAAAATAAACAATGACAGGTGACTGCAATGCGCCGGAACTGGAGTGGGAACTCTTACCACGTGTTGTGCCTACACTGACGCCGCGGACTTTGGACAAATTTTTTTCTGATTTTTTCTGAAAGTGATTCGGATAATCGGCGATTCGGATGATCGGAGTTCGGATAATTGGAGTTCTACTGTAATCACTATGTACAATGTTAAGTTTAGTTAGTACGGTGTAATTTCAGGATATGTATTTTATGGTGTGAGTAGTAAAACATATACAAACAACTAAAATAATTATTATGCATGTTGAGTGTAAATGTGTTTGCGGCGTATGCAATCGACTCAACCATAATGAATTTGGGTAAAACAATAAATATAATTTAAGTGCGCTTTTGCACTAGTAGTAGCTTTTGCCCTTCCTCCGGAAACGTACCTTGGCCTTACTGTCACTTTGCATACTATTACTAAAGTTATCCGGCTGTAATTTTAGGTACTGCCTTTGTTGGCGAAGACGAGCTTTTCTCACTCATAACGCGTGAACAGTGTTCTTGTTGTTTATGTCAACATGCATAACGACGTAGATATGACCGGATAACCACATTAATGGGAAACGATTATTACAGTGGTTGAGGTACCTTAATCAAATGTGTATTTTGTTTTCCGTTGAGGGTTTGTACGCAACTTCCAAACGTTTTATAGCTACAGTATATGGTTATAAATAAGTTATGTCTGCTTTTTCTTGACTAGTTATTTCATAGAAGTGCGCTGCCTCGGGTTGTTCAAAGAGAAAGTAATAGACTTTACGTAGAATTGTAAACTAATTTAACAATTTTTTCGTTGAAATGTTGACTTTTGTAAATAAATAATATTCTTATTGGCCGAAATTTAATCATTTTTATGTTTTTCAGTTAAACGAATAAAATATGATAGTAAATTTTAAGTATTAACACACATTATGTATAAGGTAAAATAGTATTAATAATTTTAAAAGCTAAGATAGTTTATTAAGTTCAATTGAAATGGCGTTATGCTTCAGGACGCAATTATCGGGTTAAAATTCATCAGGTTTATATGGTTAGGTATTGGACAATATCTTAAGGAATTTTTAGTATTCAACATTTCATAATTTAGAAGTTGAAATCAAAAAAATTACTATCATCGAATAAAATGTTCTGCTGAATTAGATTTTTGTTTGATAATGAAATATATGAAGTATTTGGTACCAAAAATGATTTATTAAATTACATTCATCTTACTTATTTTTTCAGTAAAAATATTTTCTGGTATAATAAAACAGTAGTCAAATTTGTTTTATATTTACTTAATATTTGAAGTATGTTAGGAAATTTACTTATCTTGAGACATAATTACTCATTTATAAAACTAAAGGTTTTAACTTTGTAGCTAATCCTTATAGGATACCTCTCATTTATATTAAAATATAAAAGTTTTTTTCAAATATTTATGAATAGTTATGTACATCTTAAAAATAGAATTAGATGTTTATAATTGGATCTTATACGACCGTGACATTATCTTCTATAATTATGCTTGAAAAAATCATAACGTACACTAAGTTTAGTGCTTTCATGAAAAATCTTGATGTAAAAGAAAACATCTCCGTTGGTCAGACTTCAAAGTTACATAACAGAAGAGCATATTTTTGTCCTTTATAATTAAAAATATAGTTGTTAGATAACTTTTAACAGAAATTACAACATAAGCGGAGAAGTTAATAAGGAATAAATAATTTAAAGTTGTATATTGCAGGTGTTAATGATATAATTAATGGCGAGTATTCTGGAAACTGTTTTTGACGCGTGACGACGTGTTGAAATATCGTCCGAGTTGCAGGGTGACAATGTGCGCGGTCAGCAAAGAGCCGGATAACGTGTCTCGAGCTAGTATTGTGTTTAGCTTGGCGTCATTGGCAATTCTATTCATCGGATTTGTGACTGGATCGTGGGTAACCACAAGGGAACCATATAAAGTACCCGGAACCGATATGTATACAGCTGTCGCATTTCGCATTGGTTTGTGGAAAATCTGTCCAACACTTAAGAAAATAAACTCGACGCTTAGTAAGTACACGCTTAATTTAATGATAGAACAGAATTGAGTTGGTATTAAACAAATATGTCAGTACAATGTGCAAAGGACATAAAAACATTTAACGTAAGCGGTATATATTTTTTGTTAAACTGATGTAATTACATTTATAAACTAATAGTAACTCGAAATCAAAAATAATAAGAATAATTAACAATAAAAAATATTGATAGCTCGTGGAAGTACTAATTTGGTATACAAAATAAATAATTCATATAAATGATCTATACCAGAACGTCTGTAAAAATTATTTCAAAAATAAACCAAAGCTTAATGTTGTTTCAAGTATAATGTAATTTAATAATTGTTTAAACTTGATCAATGACCTAATGAAGTAGATGCATGTCATTTTTATTATATATATACATATATATATATAAGAAAAAAAAATGTGTACAGATTTCTTTTTACAAAAAGTTATCATGTTAAGATTACAAATAGCACAAAAATAAGCTATCCAATAATGGTACATTTACTGGTCATTTAGGTTATTAAATAATATGAGAGAAAAGAAAAAAAAATTATTTTAAGACATTTGTTTATATAATTCAAAAAAAGTCATGTCAATTAGTTTAAAAAGTATTTTTTATTCAGTAAGATTACTAAAATAACAAGAAAAAGAAAAATTAAGTTTTAAATAGTTACATGCTAATGTTCTATATTCGTAGGGGGATCTTAATTAACAAAAACTTAAAAAAAGTGCATTTTAATATAAAACAATTTGTATAGTTTTATCTTAATCGTTTAGCTATAATAATACTTCTGTATTGAAAGCTAATAAAAAAAAAAAAAAAAAAA